TGTAAACATCAACCAGAGGATCCTTAATGATTGTGAAGAGGAATTCTAGGTTATCGTGATAATAGCAGACCTCATAGCTAAGCGTTCTGAAAGCCACTGTTTTTACTATCTGTAGATGCTTGGGCAACTACAGATGCTTGGTATATCCAATATATACAATATACTGTTCTAATATAAATTCAGCCTGAATGGTGCACTGCCACCCACTGGCAAATTTGTTGGGTCTGCTAGATGTAAATTTTCCAGAGCCTCCTGCAAGGACCTGAAGGAAGAAAGAGCAGAATAATGGGCTCTTCACTTGCACACTCCATGAAAACTGAGCAGAGGTGCTCAAAATCCTTTGTCATTAGGGAAATGTAGATTAAAACTACAGAGAAATTTCATTTCACACCCAGAAGAATGGCTAAAATAAAAAAATCTGGGGCTGGGGATGTGGCTCAAGCGATAGCTTACTCGCTTGCCATGCGTGCGGCCCGGGTTCGATCCTCAGCACCACATACAAACAAAGATGTTGTGTCCTCCGAAAATTAAACAATATAAATAAATAAATAAATAAAAATTATTAAAAAAATAAAAAACTCGATAATACCAAATGTTGATGAAGTTGGGAAGCCATTGTAACCCTCATCTTCATAGACTTGAAATGATACTGTCTCTTTGGAAAACAGTCTGGTAGTTCTTAATTTAAACAACAACAACAACAACAACAAAAAAAAAACTTTAAACATCTGCCCTGGGCTCAGCAATTCTTCTAGGTACTTACCCATGAGAAATGAAAATTCTTGTCCACAAAGTCTATGAAGAGTGTGCAGAGGATCTCTCTTTGTTCATAGAAAGCGTTCTCCTTCCCTCTGTGGTGATGGCTTACCACTACCACTGTGGCAACTGGCTTGGCTCTAACATACTCTTTCTTCTTTGTTCAATGTACCCAAATTTCTGAGTCTCTAAGACATTCTGATTGTCTGATATTGAATTTTAGTCAAATCTCTCTTTGACTCACCTAGCTATGGAGCAATGAGGAATGCAGCCTTCCTCTACTCAGCCACCTTGATTCCCTGAATTGTGACCTCAAATTAGAAATGATTGAAGCATCAAACAAATTTTTGCATATTCATGTGATGGAACAATACTCAGAATAAAAAAAAGAAGAATGAATGTGAGTTTGCACAAATATTATGCTAAATGAAAGTGGCTAGACTCAAATGCCTACATTCTGCATGATCCTTTATGTGAAGTTATATAACAAGCCATATTAGTATATGATAATAGAAATAAGAACTGTTCTTGCCTATAGAAAGAGGTGGGACTGATAAAGGAGAGAGTTCAAGAGAACTTTCTAGAGTCACAGAAATGTTTTTAATCTCAATGTAAGTGGTTGTTAAATGGGTATATACATTTACCCAAATTTCTCAAATTGTGCAGTTAAGATCTGTACCTTTTGTTGTTGGTAATTTTTACATTAATTTTTTAAATAGGAAAAAATTAAGCAATCTATAAGCCTATAAGTCATTGAGCTCAAACATCACTTCTTTGGTAACAATATCTAATATACACATGATACTATGTGTTCATCTTTATTCTAAGTATATTTCATATATTAAACTCATTTAACTCTCACAATAACCCTATGAAGTAAAGTACTATTATTCATAACCAATGTATCAAAGAAGAAACTAAAATAGAAAGTTAACAATCTATCCAAGAATATACAGCTAGTAAGCAACAGAGCTGAGATCTGTCAAGCAGATCCAGGCAGCCTGGCTCCAAAGTTCTGATAAATTATAGTTTGCACTGAAGCAGAATAGAACACAAAGGCATGCATTTCTCCTTTCCCACAACTTGCAACTTGTGCACTCATGGGTTCTAGTGTACTACTGGAAGTGCTTTGGAGGTGCTTAGCACAGACCAAGATCCCCCAAGAGCAGTTTGGGGCAAGATTATGTTCAATATGTCGCTTCTTATAGATAGACCCAAGGAAACTACATTGCATATAAAGGAAGGGTGTGCTTTTAGTGAAAAATAAATATTTACAATAGAGAAGTGGAGTATTCAACATTCTTAAATCTTCAAACTTGGACTCACAAACAGTAGGATAACCTAACATGATGATGAGCTGTGAACCACAAAATGTCCCCTTAAAGTATTACCAAAATATTTAACTTAAATATTCATAGAAAGTTAGAGGATAGAGGAACAGGATAAATAACATTACGAGAAAGCAAACAGACAGATTTGGATTGTGGGATATTCTATAAGCTTAGTATTTTTAACTTTTCAGAGTCAGTAGTATGGAAAAAACAAGTGGGGTGATTGTTTTACATTAAATTAGAGGAAAGACTCAAAATCAAAAAGAGAGAGGAAAGTGCGATAGTGTCAGCAAAATTATGGAGTATGCAACTCTAAGCTTTAGTCCCCCACCTAAGAAACAGTAAACAACAACAACAACAAAAAAAAAAACTAAACGCACCCAGCCTAAATTGTCAGAACCAGGGAAACATTAGGATGGCTATAATTTTTTTGAAAAGGAAAAAAAAAAAACAAGCATTGGTTAGGATGTGGAGAAACATCATACTAAGGGAGACCTAATGTATTGCTGGTAGGAATGTAAAATGATTCGAGTGCTGTGGAAACAGGCAGTATCTCAAAAAATAATCACGATTCACAATAACCAAAAGATAGAAACAATCCAAAGTGTATCAACAGATGAATGGATTCATTTTAGCATATACAATGAAATAATATTCGTTCATAATAATAAAATGGGTGTAGTTCAGTGGTAAGGCACATGCTTTGCATGCACCAGGCCCTGTGTTCAATCTCCTGCACCACCACTCCTACCTCAAGGATGAGAGGGAAGCAGAGAAGTTTTCATATATGCTACAACATGAGCGAAGGCTTTAAACATTCTACCAAGTGAAAAAAGACAGTCATAAAAGGACAAATATAATGATTCCACTTACATGAAATATGTAGAGGGCTGGAGTTGTAGCTCAGAAGTAGAGTGTTCGCTTAGCATGCATGAGGTGCTGAGTTCTATCCTCAGCACCACATAAAATAAAATATTGTGTCCACCTATTACTGAAAACTAAATAAAAAAGAAATATCTAGAATAGGCAAAAATAATAAGATACATAAATAAGACTAAAAATTTCTAGGTATTAGGAAAATGAGAATGAAGAGTTATTGCTGAACGCATGGAGTTCTTGTTTGGTGTGGTGAAAAAATTTTCAAAATACATAGTGATGATGGTTGCACACACTGTGCCACTGAACTGACGAATTTTAAAACTTAAAGGCTAATCAGACATTAGTAATAAATATGTTGTTTTTCTAAAGAGAGAGTGCACACAAAAAGATATATAATAGCCACATGCTTTCAAAATAAAAAAGTCATAGAAGTTATTCTTAGGACAAGTGGCAGAAATGAAATAGGGATAGGGCATTATATATCATGAAGTTGTTCCTTTCCTTAGGTGTAATCATGGTGGTGTGGTTATTTGTAGAACATCTCATTCTTAGTATATGCATGCTGTAAGGTTTAGGAGTGAAGCATTAGAATGTCTATCAGCAAATGATGTCATGCAAAAAAGGTGTGTGTTTGTGGAGAGAGGGAGGAGAGGGGGAAAACAAATGCAGCAAAATATTAGCATGTGTCAAATCTAGGTGGAGGATATATAATTGTTTATTGTAGTACAGTCTTTTTTGTATCTTTAAACATTTTCATAATAATAAAGCTAGAAACAAAAGTAACTCTTTAAAATGCACACTATGATACCTCCCAGAAATACATTTATTAACACATTGGTCCTTTTAGCCATTTTTTTTCTTCCTATGGTTTTAAAAAAATATCCTTTAAATAATAAAAACAACATAGATAAAACACGTTTTGGTATTTGTTTATTCAGTCTACTGTTTATTTAAATATATATTACACAGGCCAGGTACAAAGATGAATATTAAAAGATCTCTTTTGGAGTTTCCCTGAATATACCATAAGAATTTAATGTGCTCCATTTTAAGTCAACTATGGGGTTTAAAAAAACATAAAAGCAGGTACATAACCAAAATTGTGAACTTTTAGCAACTGTGTTAGAATCTAGGAACACCCTTATGAAATATCATACAGTTGGTCAAATTTAATAAAGTTCTTGTTGACATTTTTAATTTTTGCTGTTCATTCAAATATTTATAGTCTACACTGTGCAGTATTAGGCACTGTGACTACAAAAGTGTACAAGACACCATCTGTCTACTCCTCTGACCCTCATTTTAATATAGGATCTTAAATGCATTACGTGTCCTGATAAAAAGGTTACTAATTTACCCACCCATGGATTACAGGAGGGCTTCTTGAAGGAAGTGACATTTAAATTGAGACTTAAAGGATGGATAGGAGTTAGTTAAACTCATAATACTGGATAGAGACATGGTCTGGTGTTAAATTGCTTCGTGATCAGTGATTTTGGGCAAATCGCTTAACCTCTCTGTGCTTCAGAGATCATGTTGTAATAATAGATGCAAGGGCTTAGATCCATGATGGCACATATCACCTAAATTTATTGAGCACGTAGGACTGCTGCTGTAGTATTTAAAAAGAGCTACCACGTGCCAGGCTTGACGATGGAGTTAGAGCAAGAGACAAAACATACACACTCTCTGTCCTAGACATGCCCTCTCCAACTTGTTGTACTAAAATTAACCTCTTTTCCAAATATAAACTACAGCACAGAAAATGTAAATTGAGACACTTATACTTTTTGTTCTTCCCTGTTTCTCGTGATTCCACTTGAAAATGCGTTTCTCCGAAGGTTCCCTGTGAAACTTTGGGGACTACAATAGCGAGAACCGCAGATCTCTGCCACAGACACCCTAACGAGCGAAGCCCCGCCCCTTCTGAGCGCATCCGCTAGCATGCATCATCGTGATTGGTTTATCTTCCCCCACCTCTGCATCCAATCAGCTTTGTGTTTGTTGAGCGGCGGCAGCAGCTGCAGCAACCGTCATACACAGGGGGCTCCTGCGGCCCGCAGCGAGAGTTGGTCGTCAGGCCATGAACTTGGGGTAAGCGTGAGAAGTGGCCGTCCCCAAAGAAGGGGGAGTCTGGGTTGGCCCTAGGAGTCTTTCGCCGTTCCTCCAGGAATGTCGCCGCTTGTAGCGGCAGAGCCCACCTCCTTTAGATAGAGAGGTGCAAAGGGGACCCGTCGGCCTTTATGACCCCGCGGGCCTCACTTCTCCCTTCATAACTCGACATTGAAACTGTGACCTTGTTTCCAGCCCTTTTATTATTGAGTTCAGGACGTGGAGGGAAGAAGGGGTCTGAGAGAGACAGCTTAGAGCATTCCAGGTAGAATTTCTGGCCCACGCCTCTGGTTCTTCGCGAACCTGTCTTGGAGTCTTGCAGAATATTGGCGTTTCCGGGTTAATGGAAGGCCCGCGGGGCGAGGAATCTTTCAAGGAATTGTCTTGCCATTTCCTGGCACGTAACCGGTGCTCATTGAGGAGTGAGTCGTTAGATAAATTAAAAAGTCTGTATTGATTAAATTAAAAAGTCTGTATTGATTTTCATTGCTTGGAAGTTTAATGTTTCAGGAAGATAAAAAGCAAACAATTCCAGAGTTAACTGCATATCGTTAGCAAATGTTACGTTCTAGAATCTTGAGATTTAGAAATAAATAAGACTGCCTGTGAAGGAATTTAAGTACAGTGCAGAACAAATACTTGGCAATTTCATCCAGGGTTTTTTTGTTTGTTTGTTGTGGTTTAGTTTCATCAACAAACATGAACTGTTCATAACTCTGTAACAGGGAAACGTTTACAACCTATTTCTTCCAGTATTTTGTCTTTAATAAGTAATTTAACTTGATTTTCCCCACATGAACCACACCTCAGATTTTTCATATTCCTAATCGTATATCCCAACTTCTGTCTCCTGGATTTAATTTTCTCTCTTGAGGAATTCACTTTTGTCCTTGTTAATGTGTATTGGCGTTTTTGTTTTGTTTTGTTCTCATAAGACAATAATTAATTGCTGTATGGACTGCATTTTAGATTTCAGTAGATTTTTAAATTTAGGAACTTAATAGATGTACGTGTTTTGTTTGCATTGTCTACTGTTAATGCTTATGATTTTAACATGCTACATATAAAGTATCATAGCAGCCAGAGTTCTTTGCAGATTTATTTTGATAGTACAAAAGAGTCACTGTGCATATGTATTGTTTGAAATATTCAAAATAAAGTGGAATTCCATGCTCAAGCAGTTACTAACCTATGTGGCGTTGTTATAGTCATTTTCAGGTGCTCCAGCACTCCATAGAATGTGTTAAGCATGAGCTTGCTATGAAACTAATAGACGGTAGATCCTTTATCTAGCTAAGGATTTCTGGTAACAACATTATTTTTTCAGTGTAGTTGCTGAATTGTTTACCAATAACAAATTCTTGTATTATTGAGAAATCTCAAAAAATTTCTCTATTTAGTTTTCTTTTGGATTGAAAAATATTTTAAAAAACTACTGGGGGGGGAGCTGGGGTTGTGGCTCAGTGGTAGAGCATGTGCCTTACACGTGTGAGGCACTGGATTCCATCCTTATTACCACATAAAAACAAATGTGTTTTGTCCATCTACAACTTAAAAAGAAAAAGACTAATGGAATTGTACAAGATTTCTATGTAAATTTGTGTACATAGGTTTACTTTCAAGGTTCAAAGGAACGTTTCTGGCTATTTAAAATATTTCCATTTCTGAAAAATGACAACGTTTTTTTATATTGCAGAGATGGGTTAAAGCTCGAGACTGAATTACTGGATGGAAAAACCAAGCTAATATTATCTCCATATGGTATGCTGTGTTACTAGAAATCTAAAGTGTTAACTTTTACATTCCTAACTTAAATTTATAGTAGTTTATCAGATTTTTTACTTGTAATAGAATGGTGTTTAGATGATACTTTGAAAGAAGCTGATTGCTTAACTGCTTCAAATTTACTTTTACCCAAGTATAGTCAGATTACATCAGTGCTTACTACTGTCATTATTCAGATTCATAAAAATTAATGATTAATGTATTTCACGTGTAATATTTATGTGTTCTTTGCATGTAGTAATATTTTTATTGTCTAATGAATAATATAAGTGAAATTTAAGTAATTATATGTGTATTCTTTGCACATAGAAAAGTGTTGCTTGAGAAAATTAAATTTATAGTAAGACTATAGTTACTAAAACTCTTTTTAGTACTAGTTTTTAAACTCTGTAATTTGGTCATGTCCTTCACCCCCAATCTGTTTATAGTTTTACCATGAAAAGGTAACTAATTGAAATAATTATTTGAACCACATTGTAAGGGTTGGAACACTCAGGTGGGCTTTAAAGTTAATGCTTTTGGGGGTAATATTTCTGTCTTAACATCTTAAACACTACTAGTTAAAACTTTCTTTTATAACTGCCTTTGTGTGTTTTTGGTTGATAGTTTAGTAATTTTTTTTTCTTTTGTAGAACATAAATCAAAATTTTCTGTGAAGGTAAGCTAAATGACTTTGACCTACTTTCAAGTGCAAAATAAAGTTTTCTTTTCAATAGTTTGAAAATAATTCCTGGGAAATGTAAAGTGTTCTTAGTGGTTTGGAATGATGACGTGAAGTTATGAAGTTATTGTCCTCCCCCCCAAGTTTAAAAAGTCCAGTAGAATTCTCTTCTATAGATCACTGCTATCCAGTAAAGCTTTCTGCAAAGATGGAAATGTTATAAAATCAGTTCTATCCAATATGGTGGCCACTAACCATGTATAGATTGAGCATTTAAATGTAACTTGTGTAACAGAGGGACTACATTTCTAATTTTATTCAATTTTTAATTAAATTTAGTAGCTACTGCACTAAACAGCATCATTCCAGAGATATTTAAAAACAGATATTCAGATTTTAAAACAAAATATTTTTCTTCTCATACTCAAATTCCATTTGCCCAGACCAGAAAGAAAACTTGATTCACAAATTCCTACATCTCTTTTATAAGATTACACATGAACTTAATAGTGATCTTTCAGATTACTTTCCTTTACCATGAACCCACTGTTCCTTTTTCTGCAAAATATATACCATTAGAAATTTTCTTTTTTTTTCTATTGCAGCTGTTTCCTTGATTTTCCATTTTTAGATAAACATTGGCAGAAATATCTCCTCTTCCATAACTTACTGTAGCCTTTTTTTCCTTTATCTTTGCAGTATCTTTTTTAAAAATATTTTTTAGTTATAGATGGACACACTACTATTTATTTTATTTATGTGATACTGAGGATGGAACCCAGTGCCTTACATGTGCGAGACAAGTGCTCTACCACTAAGCTACAACCTCAGCCTTCTTTGCAGTATCTTAAAGCTTTAGCTTGTTTGTGGATAGAACCCAGTTTGGACAATATAGGGCTTTTCCTAAGAATACTGAACCCTTTATGGCTTTGTTATTTCCAAGTTTAATCAAGGTGGAGAAGTTTCTTGAGTACTCAGGAGATTAATTATTTGATAAATAGGTGATTCCACAAACTACATATAAAAATTTTTTATATATAGGCATACATTAATCTGCCCCTTATCTATCGTTTCATTTTCTGATGTACCAGTTATTTGTGGTCAACTGTGTCTGAAAATATTAAATGGAAAATAAACAATCCATAAGTTTTAGAATGTGCACCATTTTGAATAGTGTGATGAAAATCTCACTCTGTCCTTCCTGGGGTATGAATCATCTCTTTGTCCAGCATATCCATGCCCATTTAGTAATTATCATGTCAACTGTTGAGGTATCATGATGCTTATTTAGGGTATTTGGTCTTATCTGCAGTTTCAGGCAGTCTTTGAATGTTTCACCTATGGATAAAGGGGACTACTGTGTAGTATATAGTTATATACTTTGTGTACTCCTTTAACCACTGAATACACGTTGTCTGTCTCCTGTCCTCTTATTAAATATTGCAAGTAACTGCTTTTATTTAAGTCACATTAACAAATTGCCTTTTTCAAACTTCTAGATATGAAAAGTTACTTGTAATGATTGATTTCTATCTTCTCCAAGCCTATCTTCCTTTTTACACATTCTTTTTTCTATTGATATCCTTAACAGGTTTGCTATAGTTGCCACAATTTTAAAGACATTTAATTGTATTTTTAACCAACTCAGAATATCTGGAGCTCCCCTTTCAAGCCTATAATAAAGTTATTAGTCTTGGACTTTTAGTGGAATTATTACAAAATTCTGTCAGCTGTCTAGGGGCATTTTAGGATTTTTTAAAAATTTTTTTAATGAGTAATGTTCTCAGCTGATGTTAATTTATGTACTGTCTCAAATTGGTTTCCTCCCTGTTGAATTTCGGACTTGAAAATAGACACAACCTAATTCTCCCTTGTATATTGATTTGCTTTTAAGGAGATTCTCTTTCCCATAGTTAGAGAGGTTGTTGCTATACTCTTCCTTCCTGTTTTTGCTCTTCATGGAGACAAACACCAGAATCAGTAGTACTTGTCTTTTGTTTTATTTTTAAATTTCCCAAGTGTTACAGTTCTACAGATATATGTTGGATTTTCCTTTCTGTAAGTTATTCATGAGTGCTTTCTACATAGCGTTTTTCTTCTACTGAGGTAAACTGAGTGACTATGACACCTACAGTTTTTTGTTTTCCCTATTCCTCATAGGTTGAATTACTGTCATCTCCAGTGTGTTCTTTAAACACAGCTGAACTATATCATCATCATCAAGTTTAACACGTGTGGTCAGAGTGCTTTCCTAATTCTAGCAAATTCTCTCCTGCATTTTTCTTTAATCTTCATTAATGAATATGAAGTAAAGATGGTTACCAGCCTAATTTCTTATGCTTATTGGAAGAGAAATAAAAGAACTAGAAATGATTCAGTGTTGTAAGTAATTTATAAAAATCATGGCCCCTAAAACTCTTATACTTAAAGTACTCTTAAAAATTAGTTGGAATAGCATGAAAAAGTTTTTTGACCATGTGTGATCATGCACATCTATAGTTTCAGCTACTTGGGAGGCTGAGTTAGGATGATTGCTAGAGCCAAGGAGTTCGAGACCAGTCTAGGCAACATAGACCTCTTCTAAACAAAGAAAAAAATTTTTGTTGATATTTCTATATGTGGGAAATATATATTGAAGGATGTATAGTACAAGGTAGCACTTTCTAGGTTTTAAAATGCTAATTTTGTTTCCTTGTGCCAGATCCTGACCTCATTATAAACTGTGAAGTCTACCAGTAATAAATGAATGCATTTAATATTGTCTTTATTTTATGAAAAATATTGGTGGAATTAAATTAGGCAAAAGCAATATGCTATATAAAAATGTTTTATGACATAAAACTTGTTTGATCAGTTAGAATGTATCTCATCCAGTAAACACTTCTTAAATGACTTTGGCTAGGTTGCTTTTTCTTATTTAGTAACCCACATGTAATTGAATCTTTATTTGGCAGTTCATAATTTTTTGCTACCTCCCTTCATTGTTCCTATCTGGCTGTAGGCTACAAGTAGTGTTCATAATTGAGTTTAATGTATGTTGATTACATGCCAGATCATTACTTTTTTATGCGTAAGTATTTTTAGAGGACTTTTTCTGTATATTATTTCTGATGTGACCAGAATGTGGTAAAATAATTTTAGTTAAATTAGTAGATTTCTGTTTAACAAATATTTACTGTAAATTCAAGTATGGATGTAAGACTCCATTCTTAGCTTTATTTGTTCTCAGAAAAAAACAAGTCCTTGTGGATTGGATTTGTAGCTTAATGGCAGAGTGCATGTGTGAATAGTATTTACCTCTGGGAAATGTAGAACATAAAAGCTTAAGGGAGTTACAGTCATTGAAGGGCCTCATTGGATGTTCGAAGACTTCGATGATTTGCATGAAGGAAGCTATTAAAGGATTTTTGATGAGAGGAATAGATGTGATCTTATTTGTGGTTTTAGAACAGGACTTCAGGCATTTCCATGAAGGACAGATAGATTATCATTATCAATAAAGAAGAAGACCAGTTAATTGTCAATTACAGCAGTCCAAGGAGAATTGGATATGGCTCTGAACTTGTATAGTAGTTAAAAGATGGAAATATAAGACAGAAATGAGAGGATTTTAAAGTATGTTAAGAAAATATGTTTTGTTTAGCAGTTTGAGATAAACTGAAATGCCCAGCTATTACCCAGAAAATGCGCACGTGTGTCAAAAGAAGGGCAAGATCAGTAGAAGCTGTGGTAGAGACTGAGGTGGTATGATTCAGCTGCCCAAGCAAACTACATGTAGACTGCTGATAATTTGATGCATGCAGTGATTTTTTTTCCTCCAAAACTAGAATGACTTGCTGGTGCCTAAAAATTGGATAATTTAATGTATGATCTAGCATTCTTGATTCTTTAGAAATATTGGGTGATCTCGCATGTAGACTCAGATTCATGTTTGCCTATAATAGACAGGTTCTGAGTGTTGGCTCTCTCTTCTAGTGTTCTTCAGTTCTTCTCAGTTCCCATCTAGTCTAATTCATGATAGACATTTGAGTTAGTTATACTAAAATAGCTGCAGAGACAAAAGGGTAAAAATGCATTTTAGATTGATATAAAAAACCTGAAGCCAAGAATAAACATGGTGAGGTGAGGTGAGGTGAAGTAGATAATTAAGAGATCTTGTGGCTGATTCAGAAGGTACATTTTGAAAAGTAGGGTGAAATGAGATTAGCTAATTGGTCAGCAAGGTGAGTTTCATGAAATATAAGGAAAAGTTGGATATGAAAACTCTTATGGCATCTCACTCTTTGACAACAAGGATCTGATCTTGTTTTTTATATCACCCACACTTTCCACAGTGGTGAGCACATAAAACACATTTAATTGATTATCAAATTATTTCAGATTCGTTGGATTTACAGAAATGTACAGTGGATTAAGTGGAGGATAAACTTGAGATAGGTAGAATGTAATCTAGTAGAGATGATAGAATGTAATCTAGTAGAGATGACAAGAATCTGTAAATGATAAGAAAAAGATACAGTGTTTACTGATAAGCTAAATAAGACCCTGAAGGAAGAGAGTTAAAGGTGACTCCATGGTTACTGGCCTGAGATTAGAAAAACAGTGCCAAAGAAATGGAATATTTTGGGAAAGAGAACTAATTTATGGGCAAGAGATAAATAATTCAGTGGGGTGAATGGTATAGTTGAAGGTATTCAAGCAAAATTTATTGAATACTTACTCTCTTTCACCTGTTCTAATTACTGGGGTTATAGGAATGAATTAAACAGACAAGTCTCTGCCCTATGGAGTTTACATTAGAAGGATGTGAGATGGACAGACAGAAGCCAAGTATTTCCAGACAAAACAGGTTATGGAGAAAAATGAGCATGATAACCTTACTGGTTTAGCAGCCTTCGGAATAAGTAATATTAGCTGAAAGGGTGGACAGAACAGGCTAGTTTGGTGAGGTGTTACTGAGTGGGTGATATTTGAGCAAAGATCGGATAAAGGTGAGGAAATGAGCTGTGTAGAATCTGTAGGAAGAAGGAAAGGCCTTATTGAGTTCAAGGAACTCAAGATAGAAAATGAGGTCAAATAGCATGGGGGCAAAGAGGCTGGGGAGTAGGGGGTACTCACTTATCATTAGGGCTTGTTTTAGGTCATTGTGAGAAGTTCAACTTTATTTTTGAGTAAAATGAGAAATCATTGGGGTTTACCTGGGTATTGAACCCAGGGGTGCTTAACCAGTGAGACACATTTCCAGTCCTTTTTTATTTTATTTTTTTAAATTTTGCTACATTGATGAAGGCTTCTCTAAAAGTTGCTGAGGCTGGCTTTGAACTTGTGATCTTCGTGCCTTAGCTTTCTACTGGTGTTACAGGCATGTATGTATCACCATATGCGGCTTTGGGGGCTCTTGAAGATAGTAACATGATATGACTTACATATTAAGGTAGTCACTGTGGCTCCTGTATTGAAAGTAGATGAAGCACAGGTAAAAACAGGAATACCAGTTTGAAGGCTTTATAGTTATTCAGGTGAGATGTAATATGTTGGAGCAGAATAACAAGAAGTATGTTGAGGTAGTCAGATTCAGGATATATTTTTGAAGATGCAGCAATATAGTGTTGATGACAATTTGAATGTGGTTTATGGTAGAGGAGTTGAGTATGCAAATATAAGTAACAGATGGGGAGAAAGTTAATTAGAGGCAAAAAGCAGATGAGTTCAGTTTTGGACATGCTGATTTTTAATGTCTATTAGAAACCCAGTGGAAGTGTTAGATAGGTTATCTAGAACCTGGAATTAAAGACACAAACTTGGAGTCATCAACATAGATAATATTTAGAGTCAGAAAAGTAAATGAAATGACCAGTTAAATGAAGGAACAGGACTGACCAGTGTGCACTTCAACTTTAAGAGGTCTGTGAGAAAAGAAACCAGTAAAGACTAACAAGTAGTCAAAAGTCTTAAGAATCAAGATTATGAAGTCCTGGAAATGAAGAAAAGGTTTCAAAACAGAAAGAGTAATCCTCTGCATCAGATAGAGCTCATAGGTCAAGTAAGATAAGGATTTGAGAATAGGTTACTAGACTTAGCAATGTAAAGTTATTAGTGACCTTGAGGAGTTTTGGTGGTATGGTGTGATGTGGGTGAAAGACTGATTGAAATGGGGTTATAGGAGATGAAAGACAAAATGGGATCAAGAATTTTTTAATTGCTTACTGTAGCTACAGCATGTTTTTATTTTAGTTTTGGAGACAGTCTTGCTAAGTTGCCCAGGCTGGCCTTGAACTTGGAATCCTCCAGTCTCAGCCTCCTGAGTAGCTAGAATTACAGATGGGTGCCACTACGCCGGGCAAGAGTTTTTAAAGATGGTAAAATAATAGCATGTTTGTATGCTATTGTTTGTTGTGATCCAGCAGAAAAGAAAAAGTCATGATTCCAAATTAAGAATTGCTAGAGAGAAATACATAAGAAAGAGAGAGGTTATGGAATTATGTACAAGTAACGAGAATAAGTATGGCTACAGATGCTGGGAAAGATTTGGTGATTGAAACTTGCAGTTTTCTTCTGAATACTTCTGTATATTTCAGTGAAATATTAAACAGAGTCTTCACCTGAGAATGAGGATGGGAAAGAAAGTATTAAGGTTGAATAATTATGAAAAGAGTGAGGAAACTGGGCACAGTGGTGCACACCTGTAATCCCAGCAGCTCGGGAGGCTGCGGTAGGAGCATCATGAGTTCAAAGCCAGCCTCAGCAAAGGTGAGGCACTAAGCAACTCAGTAAGACCATGTCTCTAAATTAAATATAAAATAGGGCTAGGGATGTGGCTCAGTGATCAAGTGCCCTTGAGTTCAATCCCTGATACCCCCCCACACACCTCCCAAAAAAGAGTAGGGAAATATATGACTGCCAGGTACTATTAAGAACTCACTTGATATTCTTGGTTATGAGTTTAAGATGAAACCAGTAAGCATGGCTGTGTTGTTTTTCTCTGCTTATGCAGTCATAGAATAGGTAAAGGATTGGATTTTGTTGGAATTAGGATTTGCTAGATGTGCATGAGAGCAAAGAGTAAAGAGTGGAAGACGGATGATTTGACTTGTGGAATTTAAGATCATTAAAGGGGCTGAGGCTGTAGCTCAATGGTAGAACACTTGCCTAGCACATGTGAGGCATTGGGTTTGATCGTCAGCATCATCTGTAAATAAATAAAGGTATTGTGTTCATCTACACCTAAAAATACTTTAAAATAAAAAGATTGTTAAAGAAGGAAAATAAGAGCAAGAGGGAGGTGGTAGGTTATTGATCTTTGCACAGTTAAAGAATTTTTGGAATTGGGATATGGGAAAAAGAGAATTGGAAAAAAATAGGAGGTGGGAATCCTTATCCAGTACTTAAAATTGAGATATTAGAGGAGTTGCAGTTGTGGATAGTTCCCAGGTCAGTGTCAGAAGGTACTGTGGAAGTGAGTAATGATAATAGCTTAGAGAATAGCAGAATAGGAAGAGTTTGAGGAAATGAAAGGATATAAGAATAATATGAATATGAAAGTACCACTAATTGAGAAAGGATTTGTATTAGAAGGTTGACAGCAAGTTATATAAGGTCAAACAATAAGGGGCTAGTGACCTGTGAGTCTATAGATGGCATGTAAAGAAAAGTAGTATGAGTGGTATGATTTAATGACATGAAATCCAAAGCTGAAGTAGATTGGTGATGTCCTGTAACAAATAAAATAAAAGTTTATCTCTATTCTTCATTATCCAGAATTAATAATTTTTAGTTATTGATGAAGCTTTCAACTGAAGATTTGCAGTGTTAAAAATTAATTTCTATGGCTTTATTATTTAAATAGTAAAATGAAAAGTTTAGAGGATAGGTTTATCACAGATCATATAAATAAAGGTAGTTATTGATTTTCCAAAAACCATTAAAAAATAAGCTTCTGGTGTTTTAACAGATGGGAAATAAGACCAAGATTGCAAAATGTCCTTTAAGAACAAAACAAACTGGACACATTATAAAATCACAAAATACTTGTATTGGGAGTGGAAAACTTTTCCAAAAGAAGACAATTGATTCGGGAACCTCACAAGCAAGAGGTGAAAAAAATAGAATGATACTTTCACCCACTAAGGATTTATGTAAGCAGTATACAGACAAAGACTGTCTTTGTTCCCCAAAAGGGATTTCATCTACAACCCCCAATATACAGAAGACTAGAAACACCATAGATATATCTCTAGTAGACAAACAGAAGTCTCACAAGAAGCACATCACAGTTGAAAACATGAACAGTGGTTTGATGTGTCTAACACAAGACCAACTACAGCATATTTTGATGACTGTAAACCAAGGAAATGGATCTGTTTCCCTGACTGAGAATGGAAAGGAGGAAGAAACAAGTAAGATTTTTTTCCTGATTTTGTGCTATTTTCTTAATATTTGCTTTAGAATTCCACATTCATTGGTTATTATGTAAGTACCTCTTAAATTCAAATGTAACATATCATAAAATAATTATTCTTTTAGAGGACTTCAATATACAAAATTACTTTGATAATAATGATATGCCATGTTTTAAGGTTGATGCTCAAAATATTATTCATGTGCACTATAGCCTTAAGAAATCTAGTTTCTGTGAACTTCAGAAAAGCTGTTAAATAACAAAAAAAATCAACAACAAAGACTTGTACTTAATTTAGAATTTCTGAGGCTATATAAACTATATAAAATAGTTTTAAACAAAACCATCTATGGTATTTCTAGTGAAAACCAAAGGAACTTTGTGAAGATATGACTTGAGTTGTTGCTGAAAAACATTGCTTTCCTTGGCCCCTTTATTTGTTCTTCATGTCTCTCATGCTATATAAGGTCAAACAATAAGGGGCTAGTGACCTGTGAGTCTATAGATGGCATATATGTTATGTTAGGGTTTCCTGTACTATTTTTTAACCAGTATAAAACACAGACTAGAATGTTACATGCCCCATTTCACAAGTCAGGGTATTGTGTTGTTTTTAAAGCCTTCTAATTTCAACTTTGGGCTAGGAATTATGACTCTGAAACTAATAGAAATACCACTAAAATTTTATTAGGCAATAATGAGATAAATAAAAGTAAAATTGGCTGTCTCCATGGCTAAGACCCCACAACTAGTTTGGAGGCTAGGCAACTCCTGTAGACTACTACGACATTCATGTTGGAGTCATTTACTTTCTCTTGATCATAGGTTATTTGTAAAATAGGGAACCTGATTGTGTCTTTTTTTTTTTTATTATTTCTGATTGTGTCTTTAAGACTAAAATTCTAGCTCAGAGAACAAAAAGTAGCAACTTAATGGGTATCATAAGACAATATCAACAAAGTTAAAAGCACATTTTTCTCAATTATGTATTGACTTGTCTGTTAGGTATGCTTTCTTTTCACTGGGAGAACTAGCTGGTTCAGGAGGAATTTTTAAGTCAACATATAAGCCCTCCGTAAAAATCTTTCGTTATTTGCTATTGTAGCTGGGGTGTAGAGACACTTGTTCTTGAAAAAGTTTTCTGTTGATTTTATAGCTAAATGAGAAGAGTAAGTTCAGAGTAATGAATTTTAATTAATTGCATTTATTCCCTTTTAGGTTATGATTTTATGTTATTTATATTTGTGAAAGTATATTGGCAGGAGTAAGCAGAGATTTATTTTTCTTTTATTGTTCACTTGGTTTCCTGTTTGATACAAAAAGTTGAATGTCTTTGGCCACAAACAAGCCATCTAATCTCCGGGCTTCAGTTTCCCTTTTTTTGACAGATACCCACCTCAAAGATTGTTTTGAGAGTTAAATTAGATAACGTATAAGATTGTTTTGTTTTTTAACCATGTAGTACATTGCCAAGATAAGTTATTGCACTAGCTGTAATTTAGTGTTAATTTTAAAACATGCATTTTGACTTCCTAGGTCAGGATAGTCTCCATTTGAACAATATTCCCAATCAGCCAAAGGACAAGAACATTATGGGATTACTCCAAAAATATGAGGCTGTTTCATCTATTCCAGATGAAAATAAATCTGTCTTAAATAAAAATCAGGAGGCACCTAAACAATATGAACAGAAAATTGCCCTGTATGTAACTCATATCTACTACTATGGGATCATCTTGGGAATATGGTTTTGCTTTACTTCCATGTGAAATATTTACTCTGAAGCTATTTAAAAGCTTATTGCTTTATTTTTATGGAGTCAGTCACGTAAAAACCTATAATGATAATGTCTTTGGGTTTTTTTGTTTTTTATTACATTAGAGAGAATGAATGGAAACCAGGAGATATATTCAGTACTCTGGGGGAAAGAGAACGTGATAGAAGTTTGTTAGAAGCAAAAAAAGCCCAGTGGAAGAAAGAACTAGGTAATTTTTATACCTTTTATTGTAGTTTTATTGGTCTATGAAATATAGAGTGAGGACCAATTATATCTTTTAGCATATTATCAAAAATCTTGTTTTATAACATTTCATATCTAGAGTATTCTTCTACAAATCCAAATGAAACTGTGATTTCACATAGAAAATCACAGTTGTCTCTTTTCGTTTGGTATACTGTGGTGTGCACCCCAAAAGCATTAATGTCACTGGTATCCTTTCACAGTCCTGGTAGCTCAAGAAAGGATTTCTAAATTTTCGTATTTTTTGAGTACAGAAGTCCTATGGATTTAAAATGGTTTTATTTAAAAAATTATTTAACACATGTGGATTCAAACCTCAATACCATATAAAAATAAATAAACCAAATAAAGGTATTGTGTCCACATAGAACTAAAAATAGTGGACAATCAGGGTTGAGGCCATAGCTCAGTGACAGAGTGCTTGCCTGGCACATGTGAGCACTGGGTTTGATCCTTAGCACTACATTAAAAAATTAAAAAAGGCATTTTTTAAAAAAGGAATAATCAGTGATATCAAGCAGTATTCTAGTTAGAAACAAACATTGCTGTCAGCTCAAGAATCTAATAACAAAAATTTGTAATTCCAATTATGAAATTTTGTTAATTACTAAGAAATACCCATTACTTATTAGACTTAACTTAGGGTCCAGATACTACAATTTAGAAAATATGGCTTAACATTTGTACTTCTTGGAAATCTTGGAAATAACTACAATAAAGATATGAGATGAACTACAGCATCTACTCAACTGGGAAGTCTTGTGAAACAATTACTGATGGTTAAGTAATTTGGCAAAAAAGAAGAAATAGGGAATGAATTGAAGGTTTGGAGGTCTGTGTATTTTATGTCACAATTTCACCTTTAAATGTTTTCAAGCTGGGCATGGGGGGACACACCTGTAATCCCAGCAGCCCAGGAGTTGTGAGGCAGGAGAATTGCAAGTTTCAGACCAGCCTGGGTAACTTAGACCCTGTCTCAAAATAAAGAGGGCTAAGATGTAGTTCAGTGGTAGAGCACCCCTGGATTTAACTCCAAACACCACAGAAATAAATATATAAATAAATTTTTTTCAGCACATTTAACTTATCAAATTACAATACCAAATTTGTGAAATAAGTTATCTTAAGTATTTCATGCTTAAATATTTTCTTAAATAATTTACTTTTTTTAACCTGATACTGTTAGCAAGGAGAATTTCTCTGTTTTTAAAGTCATGAGAAATAATGACTAACATACTTAGTGCCAGATCCTAAACCAAAATAAGAACTAAGGATTTAGAGATATTAACAGCAGTTTGCCAACAGTCACGTGACTAGGAAGTGGTTGAGCTTGAAGTTGACTGTCAGGTTCCCTGCTTTCAGAGTTCTAGCTTTAAATTTTCAAAGTGAAAACTGAATGAATGATATAGGAAAGTAGAACATCATAATAATTAATATCAAATAAGTTATTCTGAAAAAAAGTTCCATATTGGTAAATGTGATAATAAAAGCAATATTCTTATATCCATTCATACCATAGTGATTAAAAATTTTATTTCATATCCTTAAAAATTCCTCTCTGCCTTGTGAGTTAATTTCCTACCTAAAAAACAATTTCAATTAAATTTGTGTTAGAATCTGCTCTGCAGTATTTAAGGTCATGATTTGTTTACATGATTTTTTTTTTACAGTTTTTATACATTTTTTTTTAAAAAAGGACATTATTTACAGATGAACAGGTTGCTTTAAAGAAGAAAGAAAAAGAAGCTTCTGAAAAGTGGAGTAATTCTTGGAAAAAATCTGAAAGTGATAAAATAGTGTGGGAAAAACTTCAAATTTTAGACCAATCTAAGGTAAGAATATCAAAATAAAGCATTTTGTTTGATTATCTTAAGACATCTTTATTACAATATTTAAAATGCTAAGCAGTGTTCATATTTTAAAATTTGTTTTTAAAACTCATTAAGGGGCCTATGGATATAGCTCAGTTGGTGGAGTGCTTGCTTCAAATGCATAAGGCTCTGGGTTCAATCCTCAGCACCAAAAAACAAAAACAAAACCACACCACAAAACTCATTTAAGGGAAAAAAACCTTACTTGTTATGTGGTGTTTTATGACAATAGTTTACTACAAAGTTATGACCTGAACTAGTTTCTGTTTGCATTCTGTAAATTATCTTGCTATGTGTTAGTTGGTGAGCATAGAGGCCTTAGGCACCTCCTTTAGGCTCCAATAAAGGAGCACTGCAGTTTTTTTAAACAGCTCAAAAAACTTAACCATCCATGTGTGATAGCCACTACAAGGTTATCAAATCAGCTCAAAAAAGGTGTTTTCGTATCAAAGATGAGTGTATGCCAGATATCCTTCCCATATTGCTTTTATGATCTTTAAATTTTATTTATATTTAATTTTAGATAAATAGTACCCTTGTTTTTCTTATTTCTTTCCATCTGCTGGCTCTTCAAACATTCAGTTAGTTTCCTTGTCAGGTTATGGTGGTCCAGGCTGATTGGGTCCTCACTACTAGACCCTTTAGTGCTTGATTTCAATATAACCAGTTTTCCTTAGAGGAGTAATTCTGAATTCTCCTTACTTTTAATTACAGATTAACTTTTATGAGTGTTTTATAATTTAATAAAATTAAATCCTTAATTTACCATTTCTTTTTTACATGTATAATTACATGTATAATCCCTTCTACCTTATGAACATTTATATTTTAACAAATGTATTCTGAAAACAATGTAGTAACCTAAAAAGGTTGTTTAGATGGTGGAAATTTTTAGCACTGTGGCCTAATTGGGTAAATGCCTTGTAGATCAGTGTTGACTGGCCTGTTTTGATATATGTTGATAATTTAACATTAGCAAAAAGAAATCTGCATTTTTCTATTGTCCCAGAAGTTACTTTTGACTCACTGATAGAAATAATTTTGGAAAATCCTATAGTTCTGGGTGATAATTTTAAGTGTGTGAAGTTTTGAAGTTGATTTATCCAGATGAAGTACAGGTTGTGCTCAAAATTTGGATTTTAATTTGAAAATCCAAAATTTGATGTTTCAACCTCTAACCTTTTGAGTATCATTAAGAAGTCACAAGGGACAATTCTACTCTGACTTCATGAGTATCTAAGTGACTTAATTTTGTGATTTGGCTTGAGTCCCATCTCTTTAATTTCTCTCATTATGTATATGCAAAATTCCAAAATCTGAAACATTTACGGTAGCATTTCAGATACTCAGTATGTGCCATTAAAAGCAGCAACTAAAACTTAACTGAAACTTTCCATAAAGTTGACTTATTCAACCAAACTTCAGGTTGGAATGTTGGCATTTATTCCTTAATACATTGCTTTTCTTTTCTTTTCTTTTTTTTTTTTTTTTGGTACTGGGTAGTAAACCCAGGGGTGCTTAACCACTAAGCCACATCATTTATTTTGGGACGGGATCTCACTAAGTTGCTTAGACTGGCCTCAAACTTGCCATCCCTCTGCCTCAGCCTCCCTAGGATTCCTGGTGAGCACCACCACACCTGGCAGTTTGCCCTACACCTGGTCATTTGTTGCCTGTGATTATGAGTCAAGTTAATAGGACTAGAAGCACTTTTTTTCCTAACAGTTATCAAGCGTTATCAAGGAATTTAGACAATATAAAATGTTAGGAATTTTATTTTCTACAAATGGCACAGTTAAAATTTTCAGGCATCAGTGGGTATTTATAGAATTTGTTATAATCATAGAATATATAATATAGAATATACAATTATAGAATTTATTATAGTTTATAGAATTTGTTATAAAATAAAAAATCAGAAAATGTTGACAGTAAATAAGCTATCTAAATGCACATGTGCTGAAATCTCATGATCTCAGCATATGGAGTTCTGATGCAAACTGCTGATAGCATTCTCTAACGTCAATCCCTAAGATATTGAAGAAACTGAAGGGAGCAGTATTTTTGGTGTGTTGGGTTGGTTGGTGGCATGGAGTGGAAGCAAACCAGGACTATCTATGGGAGAATAAAGTAAAATTGTTGGAGTTCTATCCCTGCTAACCTGCTTCCTCCCACCCCAGTGCCATTGTCTTAAATAATGCCTCACCTTACATTTATTATAATTCAAATCATTGTTTTTAGCTGTCCTCTAGGAAAAAAATCTTGGACAGTGCTCACTTGAATCTCATTCCAGGAATTGGGAAAATCATTTGGGGACCACTATCACCATTAAATTTACAGGCCTGGTCATTTAAAGGAGTACTACCAAAGAAGGAAGCCCTGACTTTAGGAGTTGTTCTGAAGGTTAGAAGGTTAGAAAATAGTTGTGATTTAACTAATAATGCCTGGAACTTTCTACCTTCATATCAACCTGTTCTCCATCATAGTTAACTACTAAATTTACTGAATAATCATTTCCAGACAGTTGTGATACTAAGTTATTGACTTAACTGATTTAACTCAGTTAAGGTTCATCTATATCAACATTAGACTCAAATTACATTTGATATTATTCAGAAGGCTGAGAAGTGATAGACTCAGTTTAATGTTAAATAGTTCTTACATAGACAACTTTAACTTCTGCATATTTGGGAATTAACAGTCATACTACTAAATACTAAAATCGTAATGGAAAACACAACTACAGTACTTGAAACACACACGCATATCAAAATATGAGGTGTTAAAGGGTAGAATTCAGGAAGCTTCCTTTCAGAAAAAAAAAAAGCCTTTAAATCAATAAGCGAGGTGCCCATCTAGAAAAAGAACAAGAATAAATCTAAATTAGAAGATATAAATAATAAAAATAAGAGTACCTATGAATGAAATAAGTGGACAAAGTTCTGGAAAAATATAACAAAAGCAGCCTTAGAAGCAGAAAGTGAGTCCTGTAACAGGATAGGTAAATGTAGCTCTGCTTAAAAGCTTTTTCTCACAAGGGAAACAACATACTCACGTGGTTTTGCTGCCAGTTTCTACCAAATTTTAAAAGAATAAATTTCAAATTTATACAGACTCTCAGTAATAGAAAAAAGAAATATCTGATTCATTGTACAAAACCAGTGTAACCTTGACAAGTCCAGGAAAAAAACCAAAAAAAAAAAAAGGAAAATTAGTTTTATTTCATAAATATACAAACAATTCTTAAAATATTAGTAGGTAAATTCAGTAATGCATGAAAAAGTCATGGCTAAGATCAGTGCATGTTCTGTAGCTTGGGAAATTTTTTAAATCCATTGTTGTTCTGCTCTAAAACTTACCCTTTTATAATTTGTGATGCTGTCATAGTGGGGTGATTTTTAAAGCATTTCTCTGATTTTTTTTTCCATCTGACTTCTCCACATGGAAATTGGGCCCTCCAGTTGTGGAATAAAAGTCACCATGCTCTAGTAAGCTTAACTCTCAAAATCCAATAATTAATAAACAACCCAATATTTAAAATTTGGTAAAAAATACTTGAGGAAGATATGGCAGATAAGAATGGGAAGGACTTGGCAATCATGAAATAACAATAAGGGCTTTCTGGACAAGGGCAGAGTGGTCAAGGAGTATTCTTTTCCCAAAGGTACATTCTTATATAAAAAGCTTAAGTAGAGAATTAAAAGTTTCCTTGACTTATATTCAGATGTCATATCCTTCTAGTATGATGTTTAAAATTTGGTTTTGAGAATTGGAAGATAACTACTTAATAATATAGTCAAAATCTTAGCGAGAAATGCCTGACTGGGTTCAACTATATAAATAATTTTGGCAAATTATTATAAAGTAGCCAGAAAAGAGAATTGAACTTTATTAGTTGGTTTGATGATTGTTTAGGAAGCAATGCTGCTGGAGCATCCTTTTGGTGCTGTGAAACAAGAACAGAGAAAATGGATTGAAGAGTTGAATAAACAAGAAGATGATCAGCAAAGGAAAACAGAGGAAAAAATTATATTTTCAAAGGTACCTTAAGTTTTTATAGCTATAAGGAAAAAATTAATTTTGAAGTCTTTAATCATATTAACTTACAAGTATCCTGAAATTACTTGATAAGACCAGAGTATTTAAATTCTACGTTTGCTCATGTGAACCTGGGTTGATTGAATGTGTCTAATGTGATTTTGTGTAGCTTCTTATAAATTTCCTGATTTTTTGAATTTCTCATTTGCTTTCCATGTATAAGGCATCAAAACAATACAATTTTGTTAATTTTTATGTTTATTTTGGTTAGTGATTTTTGGAAATCTCATGTTTGGATGTCATTTAGGAATTTATGTTGAAACAATTGGGAAAACTCTCAGCAGTTCTTATTTGTCACAATTAGGGTGAGGAACATGACAGATGGGCAATGCATTTTGATTCACTAAAGAGTCATCCTGGTTCTCGGTCTCAGCTCTCCTCTCGGTCAACACAGAAACAACCAGAGTACTTCTGTGTCTCTCCTGATACTCAGGAGCTGGCTGATGTCAGTAGTGTTTATACACCTACAACTGGAAGCCAGTTGGAAACTTCAGAAGAGGAGCACATAGCAAAACCTCTTAGGGATGTGGCTGAGGCAAACAATCAGAAAACGAAGTAAGTTTGTTCTTCAGAATTTATTGATTTTTATGAAAATGTATTTTATTTGGAGTATTAATATGTCTTAATTCGTTTCAGGTTTGATATATATATATTCTTTTCAAGCAAAAATGATGTAGGCTATGGAAACTACTTTTTTGGGGTTCTGAATAGCTAATGTATATATCTTGTCAGCTTCCTTCGTTCTATGACTGCTCTCTTGGACCCAGCACAGATTGAGGAACGGGACAGACGGCGACAAAAACAGTTAGAACATCAGGTATTGCATTGCAAAATATTGTTTGCCTTAATAAGTACTAGTATAACCAACATACACCTAAGTAGCTGGAAGCTAAAATTCTGGTATAAGCATAGCATACAGATCCTATTCCAACCTGTGAAGAATCCCTACCTCAACTGACATGAAGTTGGAGAATTAAGTTTATGCTGAGAACCAGTCACACTACAGCCAGGTACATGTCTCGTAGTAGAGAAGGCTCTTAGGATGTAAGTTAAGACTTTGTACTGTCTTGGGTTAGTCTGGGATATTTTTTCAATTTACTTCCCCAGAGTCCTGTTCAGGCTGAGAATTAGTTATTGGTTTCTTTGAAAGGGAACCATATGGGCAACTGAAGTAGAATTATGATTCAGAAACCTGGCAGATAAAAGATAGGAAAAAGGAAAAGGTGTGTGGGTTGGAGGCCATCTCATGAAAATCAAAGGGAGATCAGTAGAGGAAAAGGAACTAAGGGGAGGGAGGGAAAAAAGTGCTGAGGAGTGATTTTGGCCAAATTATATTGTTAGAATATGTGCATGTACAAAACTTTCAGTTAGTTTATAAAGTGTTTAATTTTCCTTAAATCAGAACTTTTTTTTCAACTCGTTGTTGAGATGTGTCTTGCTGTGTTACCCAGTTTTTTCTATCTTCAAATAGCCCTCCTGGGAATGAAGAAAAAGTAATTACATAGAGCTTGACTGGACAAGTGGAAGACGGGAGAAACACATTACAAATTTTAACATTTTAATTTGACTCATATATAATATTTTCTGCATCAGTATGGATAAAGTTTATTGAGTTACCAAAATATATGAAATATGGATTTTTACTCATGGCAGTAATTAATGTGATTTTATGACTAGAAAGCAATCACTGCTCAGGTAGAAGAGAAACGCAGGAAGAAGCAGCTGGAAGAAGAGCAAAGAAAGAAGGAAGAACAAGAAGAAGAGCGTCGCTTAGCACGGGAACGAGAAGAGATGCAGAAACAATATGAAGAAGACATACTTAAGCAAAAAAAGAAAGAAGTACATATTTATATTTAAACTCTTTGACATTTTAGAATAAAAATGTTTTTTAGAGGAAAAATAACAGAATTTGAACATTAGTGTGTGGAAGTGTAAAGCTATGTGTGGAGACATCTTTAAAAAGAAAAAAGGGAATCTTTAAACACTGTACTGCTTTGGCTTTTTTCTTTCTGCTGAGGAGGTCAAGATGAGTTAATATAGCACAAAGTTAATTCATATGCTTGATGTTGAAAGAAATGGTTGGCTTTTCTATCCATATCACTTATAAACAGATGCATATTTTGCAGAGTGATTGGGTAGGATTGATGATAGTTTTGTGGCTATTAGAGGATTCTTCTGTGTTAGCTAGGGGTTCGACAAAGTAGGTAGGGTAGTATGGAGTGCCACATGTTAGCTGACCTGACAAAGAGGAGATCATACAGAGACATTTGGTTGCCAGAGAACGAACAGAGTCTGCATTTTCTTGTTTTTTTCCACTTGGCATCTTAAATTTAGCCATAATATGCGTGCTCCCACAGTATTTTCTTTTTTATTGCTATGTAGTGTTCTGTTTGTGAGCATATAGCAGTGCATTATCCATTCCTTTGTAGATTTTTTTCAGTGTTGGGAATTGAACTTGGGACCTTAAGCATGCTAGGTAAGGCAAGCACTGTCACTAAACTGTCTCCTCCCTTGCTTTTTTTTGGTGGGGGTGGTACTGAGCCATCTCCCCAATCCTATTTTTTTTTTTAATTTTATTTAGATGTTGATGAACCTTTGTTTTATTCATCTATTTATATTATATAGTTTTCATCCTTCACTCCAAAGTTGGCTAGTAGGGTTCTGATTTCATTAGCATGAATAGCCTGAGGCAGCTAACCCTATAAGATATCTTGAGAAAAAGTATCATTTGCTTCACTGCAAGTGCCTTTAAATACTGTTTTACCTTTTAGTATTCATTTTCAATTTTAACAGAACTGTAAAATTGACAGTTTTTAAAACTTTGAAAAGGTGAAATGGCTAAAAAGTTTTTATATTTTTATATAAGCTCAAAAAAGGCAGAACTTTGCCTTTCACTTTTCTACTTAGGAAATATATTAACTGAGAGAATAATTTTTACAAGATTGATAATTTTAAGAACTTATATGTCAATATCAATAGGAAATCATGACTCTCAAGACCAATGAGCTATTCCAAACAATGCAGAGAGCACAGGAGTTGGCACACAGACAAAAACAAGAACAGAGAATCCGAGAATTGGCTCAAAAGGGACATGACACTTCTAGATTGATGAAAAATCTTGGTGGTAAGTGATTAATCAGAATTTTACCTTTTTTTTTTTGAGATGATTTTTAAATACTTGCTCATTGTAACTTTATAAATAGAAATGCATATTTGAAAATTACAAGTAGAACTAAAACTTTCACATACTTTTGTTGTTGTTCCCTCTTTTGCATTATTGGGATCAAACCCACAGCTAGTGCATGTTAGGCACACATTCTACCACTGAGCTGGATCACAGGTCAAATGTGTACTTTGAACCTATGATTACAAAGAAAACAACTGTGATTTCCCTAAATCAATTTAAGGATTAGAATACAAGTAAAACTTTAAATTATAAAATTTAGGCTAGCCTTTCTAAATCTTTATTGCAGCATTCATTCTGATTTAAGCTAAAAGTTGTGTACTGCTGTGCTATACATAATTACTTTTTTGTTGTTGGTGCTGGAGATTTAAACAGGGGCCTCCAGTCTGCTATTCCAGCACTCTTACCACTGAGTTTTCTCCAACCCCCTGTACATAAAATGATACTTAAGGGATATTAAGAAAATTTAAGATAATTTCTTCCTTTTTGCCAGTTGATACAATACAAATGGACTATAATGCATCCATTACCATTTCAAATTCAAGACATGACTCTGAGGAAGCCAGTGATAAAATGAACCCATGTATCAATTCTACGACTTCTCCTAGGAAGGATACTGGTGTGCAGACAGGTATATAAAATTTTCATTTGTTAATTATTACCATTAAGTTCTACTTAAAGTTTAAAATTTAGAGACTTTTTTTTTTTTTTTTAGAGAGAGAGAGAATTTTTTTTTAATATTTATTTTTTAGTTCTCGGCAGACACAACATCTTCGTTGGTATGTGGTGCTGAGGATCGAACCCGGGCCGCACGCATGCCAGGCGAGCGCGCTACCGCTTGAACCACATCCCCAGCCCTAAAATTTAGAGACTTTTATAATAGCTTTATTCAGTATGTCCACTAGAAAACACTTATAGTTGTGTAGCCAGTACCCAATCAATTTTAGAACCTTTTCATGACTGAAACCTAGTAACCCATTAACTCTCAACTCTAGTTTGCATTCTGTCTTGGAATATTTCATATAATTGGAATCGTACCATATATGGTCTTTTTGTTGACTGGCTTCTGACTTAGCCTAACTTTTAAGGTTCATCAATGTTGTAGTACTTACAATATTCCTTTTTGTTGCCTAATATTGTTCCATTGTGTGAAAATACATTTTGTTTGTTCCTTCATGATTTGATGGACACTGGGTGTATAAGTATGCTGTTATGAACACTCACAAGATGGACCCTGGGGGCAATTTACTATTAGAGTTACATCCTTCTTTTTTTGAGACAGGGTCTTGTTAAGTTACTGAGTATGGTCCTGAACTTGTGATCCTCCTGCCTAAGTCTCCCAAGTTGCAGGGCTTACAGGTGTGTGCTATTGTCACCAGCCCAAGTTTTTGTGTGGATATGTTTCAGTTCTCTTGGGAAAGAAGAGAATGAGCATTTTGAAAAAAATTGTTCTCCAAAGCAACTAACAGTACCATGTTAGGTTCTCACCAGTGGTTGATATTTAATACCAGCATATGAAAATATGCTCAATAAGGCAGTATTTATCTCTTATTATCATCATTCTAACTCTGCTTATTACGAATCTTTTTTTTTTTTTTTTAATGGTGTTTCACTGTGTTACCCAGTCTGGTCTTGGGAATCTTGGACTCAAGTAATCCTCAGCCTTCTCAGTAAATGGGATGATCAGGAAGCCATTTTACTATTTCACTTTTTGAACTAGGTACCAGTGGATCTTCCTGTCATTACTTGTGATTCTTACAGATCCCAAGAGTCAAACCAACTTGGCTGGCCATTTAGCTATGCTGTTATTATCTAAGCCACTGTTTACTGCCTTTGGACCCTACTTCAATATACCAGATTAATTAACTACATCATGGGTATGATTGGTGCCACTGAAATGCACACTTAATTTATTAATGGTTAAAAAATAGGCTACGGTTGTGGCTCAATGGTAGAGCACTAGCATACTTGAGGCTCTGGGTTTGATCCTCAGCACCACATAGATAAAGATGTGTCAACCACCATTATTTATAATAGCCAAAAAGGAAACATGTGCATGTATGCACAGATGAACAAAATGCAGTCACACCGTAGAATATTTATTAATACATGCCACACAACATGGATAAACTTTGAGGACTTTAAGTGGTCAGTCACAAAATGACAAGTGAGTGTATTACATAATTCAATTTATATAAACACAAATAGAATGGTGGTTCTCTACTTTTTCCAAAAGTTTTAGGGGGTAGTAACTAAGAATTGTTTATAAAGTGATGAATTTTGGTATGTCATAGTTTCAATTTTTTTTATAGATGACTTAACTACAGGCATATTCGCCAATGCAGAATCATACTGTGAATATGTAAAGGAAAGAGAAATCACAAATTGTTCATCTCCTGAGATTTCTGTAGAATTTAATGGACAATTTAAGACAGACAAGCAAGAATTAAGAAAGAAAAATGCCAACTTAGAAAAAGAAAACAGTTTATGTAATGATCAGTGTAATGAATTTGTAAAACCAGAGAAACAAACAAAACACATGAAGAAGTGTCCTAGAAGGCCTGAATGGAATTTAAATAAGCCTCTCAAAAGGTATGTTCCAGCATCAGAAAAATATCCCATACAGCTTCAAAGGCAGAGAGAAGAAAAAAAGGTAAGGAGGCAGATGGAACTACTTCATTTGGTAGAGAGAAATAATCCTGAACACCTCTCTCAAAATAGAGGCACTTCATCAGAAGTTCATTCATCTCAACAAGAAACTGAATCACAGAGCAGGTGGCATCTAATCAAAAAGGTAAAAACCTTTTAAGCATGTATCAATGTTTCTAAAAATAGTTTCCCAGCAGTATGTTTTGACAATAATATGTAAATTTGTAAATAAGTTTTATAGGAACAACAGCCATGCTTATTCTTTTTGTGAATTATCGTTGGCTTTATGCTGCACCAAAGACCACATGGCTCAAAAACTGAAAATTGCTACCTACCTCTTATGGTTCTTTATTCGTTTATATAAAATAAAGTCCATGGACATTAGTGTTGTTCACAAAATGTGTCCATCTTTCAGGAAGAAGAGTCTCTGAAAATTCATTCATTGAACAAGGAAAGGTATGTGGCTTATTTTCCATGCCATTCTATATATATAGGGAAAGGCAGAGGTTTAAGGAATAAGGATGGCATTTTAGCTGGAAAGGGATGGTTTAATAACTCTGCATGAACTAGCTAATTAATCTGTTGTGGTTCCCCACCCCCCCCCCAAAAAAAACCAGGTTTCAGTCATCACCAGTTCCAGCAGTGAAAAACAGAACTCAACAAACTCAGACTAATAATATATCGCACTTACCACTAAAATACAGTAGCTGTGAAACAGAGAATCTGATCTCAAGAGGTGGTCAAACAGGATTGTCAGCTGGGATGTCTGAATCATCCCATTTTATTCCTTATGTTCGAACAAATGAGATCTATTACCTTGATCCTGATGCACCATTGTCTAGGCCTTCAACCCAGGAACCTCAATACCAAAATTCTCAGGGTATGTAATACCACCTAATTTATAAGTGAAGATCAGTGTTAGTTTACTTACAAATCCATAGCATGAATTTGACTTTGTAAATTTTATCTTGCTTCAGATTGTGACCAAGTCTCTGACCACCACATTAGGGATCCACTCCTTAATCCTAACTTGTTGAAAAATAGGGATCGACAGCAAGCAATCCTTAAAGGACTTTCAGAATTGAGACAGGTATGAGTGTTTCACCAAGTCCAGATGTTACCTTTCAAGGGTGGGGAAGTTATATAAACAGTGTCACATTAATATAATAATGTTCAATTATGATTTTCCAGTGTGAAATTAGACGGTTCAATTTTATTGAACAACAAAAAAACCCCATACATTTAACAGCAAGACAAAAAACAAATTATGCTTTAATAATGCAAACTGAGTGTAATGAATGTATTGGCAGTTTTAAATATTGAAATTACATGTATAATCTTACCAGACTTTCTCCATCTGGGGCTTTGGTTTAGAAATTAGAGGTAAAATCTTCCCTCTAGAAAATGTGAATGGGTCACTAAGAAAAGGGTCTAATTTGGGTCTCTCTCTCTATATATATATATATAGCTTAAGATAACATGAGAAGGGTGATTGAGTGAAGAGGATTTATTTACAACTACTACATGATATCCAGTTGTGAAGGACACAAGAATTACTCAGGGTAGGGATCAAGCTTAAGCTATGGCACACACACCTTTACTAATGTATCAATGTGATTTCAGGGCCTTCTCCAGAAGCAAAAGGAGTTGGAAACTAATCTCATGCCTTTAGCTGCAAATCAAGAAGAAAATTTTAGTTCTTCATTTTAAACAAATGCTAAAATGTGCTCACTGTATTTTTCAAGTACCCTATGCTTGTACATTATGTAGTAAATGCTGTATTTTTTTTTTTTTAAATAAAAGCAGATACTTTTGTAAAAGCTCACTGCTATAAAACTTACCTTAGTAGTCTGGAGTTCCTGACCTGTTCTTCCATGGCTTTTATGTACCTGAGAGTACCAGAAGACTGAACACATTTTTAGACTTTCACTAAATAACCCAAATTCAGTTTAGGCTCCTGTGGAAGTTTCTCTACATCCTGACATTTATTGTAGAAACTGCTGCAATTTTCAAAAATGTAGAAGTTAGAATTAGACCACAGAAAAGTTAATCTGACTTCTATACTTCTGGTTAAAGTTGCTTGTTGTCCTGTGTAAATTAAACTGCACAAAATCCTATGTACAAAGCTTAAGTCATTTAATTTTACATATAAAACTGACTTCAATATGAAGCCTAAGTACAGAAAATGTAAAACTTAAAGAGTGCCAACATGAGAATTCAAATACAATATGTTAGAAATATATATTTATTTCAATTTTCAGATGCTTCAACTGATACAGGCCATCATGATTTAAATAAGAGGAAAAACATTTCAGAAAGGATAAGAAACCTTTTGCTTAGAGAAAGAAATATAAATTGTTAAATTGTTAATTCACTTAAACAGAAAAAGTTCACAACAACCTTTTTTTTTTAAAGTTACCACATTTCTCTTTTTCATTTTTTCCCCCAATTTATTGGAGATGGAGGTTTCTCTCTATCCAAGCTTTGAGTATAAGCAGATAAAAAGTCATTTTCATTTTCTTGACACTGACTTGATGAAAGGGCATATGGTGTCCCCAAAAATGTCTGATGAGTGAGAACATTAAAATGACTAAACTGATGGGACATATTTAATTGACTCTGGTGAACCTCAAAGTTGCTATATGAATCTTGTTCTGCTGAACTGTTCTCTCCTTCAGAGCATACTATATCATCAACAGAAGCGCTCTCTTCAGAATCAATTTGGTAAGTCTTATCTTCTAATAAACTTTTTTGCACGTCAAGAGATGACTGCAACTCAATTTGAATATTCTTTTTTTGATCTGTTCCACTGGATCCTTTGGTCTCTTTCGCCAATATTTCTGAATGAAAATTGCTGCATACTTCTATATGTGAGATTTCATCCCCTGAATCCAGAGACATATCCTCTTCATCCTTTTCATCGTTTTCTAAAAGAGCTACATTTAAAAAACAAAAAGTCCTCCTCTATTGAATTACACAATTTGTTTAAGTTTTAAAATTATACACTACTCACACAATATAATGCGTCAGGGTCTGCAAGTCCACAATCCCTTAAAGCTTGGTCTTCTGCCACAAGTTCACTTAGTCACAACACTCACACTAGGTGTGAATGTCCAGATAATCCGATGCTAAAAGCTTCTGCGAAATGTGTTCACGTTTAATGTTGGGAAATCCCAACTCCCAGCTCCAAAGGGGTTAATGTCAAAACAGCATCTAAAGTTATACGGTAATTCAGTATTTGACAAAACAAATATAAAATAAAATTTCTGACATCTAGCTTCACTGAATTACTAAACTAAGTTCTATTGAATGATCATCTCTGCTTTTCACCAAAAACAAAATTAAATACATTGTTCATTTTATGTAAACTCTGGAACCAAAGCAGAGGCCATCTCATAAGACTGAAGCTATAATATTCCTACTATCTCCAATTACATTGCTTCATACACCTGAGGAGATTTAGTAACCCAATGCTAAATCCCCAGATCTGGTTTCCTACTTTTTTTTCCTTAATAAAACCCCTCAAAGAGAAAATGCATACTCCACAGTATGCATAGGCCGCAGTATATGGTAACAACTTGTACTGACTACTTGTGCATGCTGAGTACTAAAATGATAAATGCCTTTAAACACTAACCCTAAGCCTATTTACACTGAAGTCAGTGGTTTCAAAATAGGCATTTCAGTATTTCATACCAGACAAAACCATTCCTTTTTCTGTCTGCCTTTAAAGAAAATAAAACTGCTGAAAAGTTACCTGACTGTGACTCAAGGTTCTCATTAGCACCAAACAACGGAAGGTTTTCTTCTGTGACGGAGTTGTGATAGCCCACAAGAGTTTTAAAGTTTTGCATAAAGTCTTCTGCAGTTGCAACTACTATTCCATTGTCTGTGTAACTGGAAAGCACCTTGATGCTCTTCTCTTAAAAACAACAACAAAAAAAGCACTTGAACATTCTAGACAAACAATGATGCCTAACCACAACAAAATCCTTTATTTCACACATTCAAAATTCTAGCTTAACCACCCATCTCAGCCCCAGGAAATCCTTTTTTCATCCACATCCTTATATTTATAAAAGAAAGCTTAAGAGTCTTTTCTTTACCTGTTAAAAAGACTATGTGTCGCTGTTGTATGTTCTGAGCCTGAAGTCTAATAAGGCAGTCCAATTCTGGAGCATTTCGAGTTTGTGAATCACAATTGTGGTATGACAAGATTTCAACCAGATGTTTCTTCTGATAGACATTCAGAAGTGTCAACAAACTTAGAGCTTTAGCATTCAATCTGAAATTAAAGTTCAAAATCTGGGTCTGTACTTCTAAAGTTTTTACTTCAGATTAAAACCTTAATTCCTTAGTTAATGAAAATTATACTCTTAGCAATAGGGATGCTCAGGAGAGAGAGTGGGAATTGGGCAGTCTACAGGCAAGCTGGCAGGGGTGGTCACTATACTACCTTAGGCTAAAATTTCAATCATTCTACTCTAAGCTATTGCTACAATGTAAGGCACAAGGCAACAAGCCATTAAAAAAACTATTGGCTGCAGTTAGGAAAGTGAGGGAACTGTTGATAAGTATACCGTTACATCTCAGTATTGTTTATAAATAAATTGTAATAGAAGAGATTTGCCCTAACCCCACTTCACAGGTTTTGAAGGTAAATTTTAAAAGGTGAATAGCTGTAAGAATCAAATAACTGGAAATTAGTTAACCCTGAATTCCCTTGAAGAGTGTACCTCAGTCTGATTAGGAAATGCAGAGTAATTTCTTAATTACCTTTTAAACTCTACAGTAGGATAAGTATCTCAAACTCATCTGATACTGTACTTGTTTGTGGACTAGTCCTCCAAGGAACTGACCTTAGGCATATTATAAGTAATATGTACAAATATAAATGAATATCCTAATCACCAGTCTCCTTATCAGGTTGAGATTAATCCTTGTCCAAATACTTGTTAGGAGAGGGCCTGATCTAGTTGGCTTATACAAAGAAAAAAAATTGTAGATCCATTTTGATTATTTTCGATTCATAAGCACATTAAGCCAGTTATACTTTACACAAAACCAGAACTTAAACCAGAACTTAAACATCTATCTAAACAATAATACCACTTCGACCTTAGATTGGCTATGGATCGCTGTTAAAATCGCAGTGTCTACAAACATGGGGAAAAAAATTTGTGAGCACAGTATTAAAATCAACCATTACACATTTATTTTTTCCCAAATCTTACCTGCCTAGTTCTTTTAGCTTTTTCTGAAATTTACAGTGAACTTTCCACTGCCATTTTCCTTCTGGGGTACTAAGGTCTTCAAGGAATGCCAAAAAATTTTTAAGGCTCTCTGTTGAAATAATGAAGTTTCTTTTCAGTTAACAATCCACATCTGAATTATGGAAGAAGTGCTTGTTCATATCATGTAAGAGATCTACTTTCCTATATACTCTTTTCCTAAGAGACTTACATTATCCCTAAAGCATTAAGACTATATCTGCACGAGAAAAAAGAATACACTGATGACAGTACCAATATCAGAAGTAATCTAGGGGTTGGAGATATAGCTCAGTTCGTAGAGTGCTTGCCTAGCATGTACAAGGCCCTGGGTTAAATCCCTAGCACCATCCCAAAAAAGTAATCTACACCAGATTCACAGAAAAGAATTTAAAATACTAAAAATAGGAAAGAAATTTGAGGTGATAAGAGCACAGGAAAAAGATTAAAATATACTGGTTACTGTGAATGACAGAATAACAGACAATACCATTAAGAATTCAAATCCCCCAATTTGTCTAGAAACCTAGGGGTGGGGATGGTGAACAAGTAACATGCTCATAAGACCGCATTAACCTTACCAATCGTAACCACTTCTGGATTTAAAATTGATTCATCAGACACAATAAAACCTCCTGACACAAATAAATCATTGTATGTATGATTTTTAACATCATCCAGGCTATCAACACCAGCAAAATTAACACAGGGGAGTTTCTTTAAAGTCACCAAGCCAGGTACCTGTTAAATATAAAAAATAGAAAAGGATGGATAAGAAAATGAAATGATAAGTAACCTACACAGAAAATCTTTATGGTTCATCTGTATTAATGCATTGCAGCTGAAAAAAAAATCACAAAAATAATTTCTTCAACATTATTTCCGAATATATAAACCATTGTTTAAATAATTGACAATAGACCTGAAAACAAAATGGACAAATGGTAACCAGTCTGTAACACACGAATATAGGCAAAATTCAGAAGAGTCTCTTGACAGGATACGTCCAAATCAAAGGGAAAGGAGGACTAGTTTGGCAAAGAAGAGGTAGCACAAATAGGTGCCTGAGACATAAAAATTTAGCAGGCCCCCAGCATTCAAGGATTCAGTACTTTTATTAGTACTGACTACTTTGACTGTCAGAAGAAAATATGATGTACAGCAATTTAGGAATTTTGCAGTGGTACAAAACAACTGCCCCCAAGCTAATTCATGAAAGGATACATATGTTTTATCATATTTAAAGCTTAGACAAAACCTTTAGTTTCAGACAGTTAAGATTTAAAAATAAGGGAGTTATAAAAAACCAAAATAAATATGAATGTGACTTAACAGACTACCTTGTGAATGAAACCTGCAATGTCTTCATTTTGAATAATAATCAATAGTTTATCTAATTTTGATCTTCTTTCCAAAAACTGTTCTGGGTGACATTCTGTATTGCCTAATTTGATAAGATATTCCTGTTAAAGAAAAACAACTATATCAACATTAAAAAGCTTTTTGGTAAATTATGCAACAAACAGATAAATTTTACTACTAGGACCTTTAAGAACCTTTACTCTAGGAAAGTTCACAGACCTCAAGTCCACTCCACTCTTATGCAAGAGGAATTAAAAGGTCAAGCTTCACCAATCACACCTTCACAATGTTAGAATGCTATGCATTTAAAGTAAATGCCTGTGTGAAATGACAGAACTGTAATAATGGATTAGCCCAGATTCCCACATTATAAACCCAGCTCTGTTCATTATTATGAGAAATGTAGAGTACATCATTAACCACTCCTTGCTTTCTTTTTCATCTGCTAAGCAGGCCCTTGGTTGTTCATGGCAATATTACTGTGGTATTCCTCTTCAGAGTTATAAAGCTCATTTAATTCACAACAAGTCAGAAAGTATTCATACACCAGTATTCACATACTAATTAGCTATTTAACATCTTCAAGCAAAGCAGACTTTCCCATTTAAAACCTCCCTCCATGCTGGTGGCAAAGTATTACTACCTTTCACAGGACACAAGCAGTTAAGTCCATGAAGAGTTCCCTTTGCTTGCTGGTAGATTCCTGAACCCTGACACCAACTGCAGGATCCTGGAGGTAACACTCCTCACTTCATAGGAAATTAATGTTCTCAATGTCAGCACAGCTGGTCAAATAGCCACATCAAAACCCAGTGTGCCTGACAACTAGTTTACTGCTCTTCTGAAAGCAGCTTAAAGTGTCACACATAAAGAGGATATTTTTTATTCACCTAGACTAAAACAGCAGCTTCTACAGATTTTACTCTAAGCACCTGAGCAAATCTCAGATTAGCTTAGTGAAAAGGTAAATTACTGCCAGGACTCATAGTGATTTCAGGTCTTTTTTTAATAGTAGAGAGTTTTAAATCCAAGTTTATAAGACTATCTTATATAGTAATAAAGCAACCTGAATATAGAAATTAGTAGGCTTATATTTTTATTCCTTGTCTTTATTTTTGCTGGAAATTATCTGATACTGCTGAATAGTT